AGTCACTTATTGGGTGGCTAGTCATGTCTATGGTCTTGGAACTGAAGTATATTATACAGTTGGACGTAGAGACAGTAGACACATTTTACATGCGTGTGACACATTTTCTAGATCAGCAACCAGGGAAACTCCATCTCAGATCCCTTCGTCTAAGGATGCAATGGACATGAGATTTCATTTTCAGATACATTAAGATGTTGTCTTTGTTTCTTTTTTTAAAAGTTTTTTTATGTATTAGCATATGTAATTATGTAAAAGTGTCCCAGATCTATTAAATTCAACCAATTTCTTTGTCTCTGTCTCTGTCAGACAGTACAGCTGAAGTCTCAGACCCAGCAGTGTCCGGTCGACGTCTCCTCCCAGACGTCCACAGTGGGCTGCTACATCTCCTCTATGAAGGACAAGCTGATCAGCCCTGGCAAATACACAACTGCTGACGAGTATCATGAGAGGAGGCTGAGAGCTGTGGGTGAACACTGAGTGTCTGTGTGTCATTATAATGCATGTCCTTTAATTAAAGTGTAAGTACACCCCTCAATTCTGCTAGCTTCCTCCCTTTCAGCAAACTAAAAACATGCACCAGAGACCTGCAAAGGACAGTGACTTGAGGGGGCATGGCCTAAACACAGACTGGCGTGATTATTAACCATGTTAAGATTTATGTACAATAATGATACAATGAAATATTTGTGACCTGCTTCCCTCCTCTCATCGCCCACCCAGGTGATCTGTCTGCAGTCGTTTACCCGGCGCTGGCTGGCTCAGCAGGAGGTGGCCGGGCTGAGGAGGGAACGGAACCGGCGGATAGCCTGGCTTGACATGCAGGACAGGATGAGGGCGGAGGACAAGGAGAAGCAGCTGAGAGACCGTCGCCAACGCTGGATGAACCCGCAGACGAGAGAGGACTTCAACCTGAAGTACCAGGCTCTAGAGAGTAGGCTGAGGGAGAGGGGCCTTGAATTGTATTCTGGTTCAAACTGAATTCAATTAAATTAAAAGTCTAGTTTCTACGTGCCATCCTCTAACCTGCCACTGAACAGTTTCTGTTGTGGTGATGTCAACCAGTTAAAAGCTCTAACTGTGTGTTTCAGAGTGGAGGTGTGAGGAGGAGCAGCGGATTAACTCGTCCCTGCAAGGAGCTGAGAGGAAGGTGGCTCTCTGCGAGCTGCTGGACCAAGAGACGCAGCTCATCGGCGCCATTGAACGCCATCGCATTGCCTTCCAGAAAGACAACTACCACAGAAGTGTCAGGAACTTCCTGGACAAGGTCACTGCTCCTCCTCTGCTTCGAGCTCTCTCAGTCCATACCAAAATGTCTGAAATTAGTAGCATTATCATTAGTGTTAGTTGCTCCATCAGCAGTAGTACTAACAGTGTAATGGTGTGTTTTAGTGTGCGGCTCCTCGTCAGTGGCGAGCAGCTGACGGTCGGCTGATGAAGAAGGAAAGTCAACTCACCATCAGAGCGAAAGAGCTTCGAGATCTGTACAACAACATCAACCAATCCACTGACAGCCAGGATCAGAGACTCAGCGTCCTCATGAAACTCAAACACACCGTCAATGTACTACAACTCACACATACTGCACACTACTGCTGTGTGAGCTCACACATTTAACACAAATGGTGCAGGGTCAGTGTATCACCATTACCACTGACCAAATTTGCCACTTTAGTTCTTAACATTATTATTGACATTATTGCAAGGCCCCATCCAACATAGCAAAATTGGTCTGGCCCAGTCACGGTCCACATAGCCCATATATACCTTTTTTCCATATACACCTGCTGGCTCGGCTCGACTCTGTTTGACTCGCACCAGCCCAGCGCAGCAGGGATTTGCATCTCCATTACAACAGGGCTACATGCTTGAAGGTGTGTCTTTATAGGCAGAGAGAGCAGCAATGGTCGTAAAGCACAAATAAACACGGCCGCCTTCCTCCCTGCACTATGCTACGCTAATTTGGTGAAAAAACACATTTAATTTCCTAAACATTCTTCACAAATTAAAAGTTCTGAAGCAGGAAAATCAGCAAGTGCGGGATTTTCATCAACAGGAACTTAACACGACACTTATACAGCTAAAAGTGAACATGAAACAGTCAGTCAGATGCAGGAGAGAAACTAAACTTCAAACTTGAGAGATTCAGTTAGACGCTGAGAGCTGAACTCTCAGACCATTAAAAACATCTGTCTGCTCTCCTATACGGACGGAGAGAAGGGGAGTTGTTAGGGTTGTCTGCGGGCGGCAAGACGTCGCCACAACCCACTTGGAGGTGGATCGGGCGTGCTATGGCCCTACTATTACACTCAGCCCAGATACAGCAATGAATTATGGTCAACATGTGGGCCAGATCTGGTAGCCACATATGGCCCATGACATAGCCGTATCTCAGCTGACTCTGTGACCATAGCTGGCCCTGTTCACCTGACAAGGAGAAGTTAAGCTAGCGGAAGTGAAACATACAGTTTGTAAAATGAAATAAATGCTTGCTTTTAACTTCCTGTTGAAATAACAGAGCATTCCGTTTTATCAAAAACTCTCCAGTTGTACATAAAAACAAATTACAAAAATACTTGGGTAAAAAAAAGGCGATACAACACAGTAGTGACTCTAAATATCTCATAGGATTTCATAGAAATTTATATTTCCTTGTTATGGCACAATACTACAATTCTTGTTTTATATGAATATCTATTATTCTTGGTAGAATAATCATTTTCTTGTCCTTATTGGACAGGAACATAAGTGTCAGCTGACCCGGGAAATCGTGGATTTGATCGACAGGGAGGTGGACCTGATGTTTCGGAACCTTAACACAAAAGACCTGGAGGGGTTGAAGAGGAGGATCTCCACTTTGTTCCTCCAATACATCAAGACACCAGAGTTTAACCCTGAGGTGACCAAGCTGCTGAAGGTAAGCAAAGAGCCCCATTGGCCTGGAATCATTTGAACACTTTTAGATATAAACTACATATAAATATCTCTAATAAAATCTGAATTCCCCAGTATCCCTCCAAGTCAAAGAACGACATGGCCCTGTGCCTTGCCTGTCATCGCTACCTTCCCTCTACCGACTTCAGGCCATCCGTCAGAACCGATTTGAGCGGTCGGTGCCGCCATTGCACTGGACTTGACAACATAGCAAGATGCCGTGAAGACTTATCCTGCTACAAAAACATCCTGAGGAGGCTGAGAGCTGACGAGTTGCAGATCAACAAGGAAACAAAGATTCCCTTCCTGCTGCAGGTGATCTGTCAGTTTGATCTCTTCACTACAAGCCTCAACAGCATTCTTAATGCAGATAGTGCAACCCTGTCTACATGTGTGTCCTCTCAGGTGGAGGACGTGCAGTACCTGATTGAGGGTGTCTGGGCCTCTCGCTCGGCCCTTAGTGCCAGCAGTGACCTCTACAACCTGGTGTTCGTCCGCTGGGAGAACCAGAGGGACTGGAGCCCCTGGAACTGCATCCTGCTGTCCAAAGAAGAAGCTCCTGTTCACATGGTGGTAGAAGACGTCCACGAGGTCTGTCCTTGTAAACATTTCCTGTACACTCACATTAAACATGGACCCAATCCCCACCTGGTATCAATGTGCAATCTCTATCTGGCTAATGAATATTTCCACCTGGTATTAATAAATGTTCTTGTTATCCCCATTCCATTCACATTGTGATCAAAGAGGATCTGTACCGTGTCGTAGTAACTTAGATCTATCACCAAATTGTGAATTGTCACCTTAAAGATACAGTTGTTTGCTGTAACTCCCAATAATTTCAAAAGCAGCCCTTTTACACAGCTGAAATTTTCAGTTTTCCCATTTTTATCAAACTGTTACCTCCTGCCATGTGAATAGTCATGCCAGTCACTCTGGCACGTTGTCTGGTCTTTCTGTTTGTCTGGTCAAACAGTAAAAAAGCAGCTGCTACAGTTTGGACTCCAGCTGTTACAGTGTCCCCTCTGTGTTTGTGTTCAGGTGTATGGGCCGACGTTCATCCACAGCATCAATCTCAAACACATGCAGGCTCGGCGCCATTTCAGCCAGATCTCCAACATAGTCAAGTACATGGACTCTCAGCTGACCGTTTCCCTGGGCAACCAGCTTGTCTCCAAGCCCATCCCCATGGCGACAGTGATGGCCACCGACAACACGCCGGCCTCAAGTCATTAAGAAACAAACATTTTGTCAAAAATCTAAAATAAAGTTCATAAATGTACTCCTGGTTTTGCAAATTCATTTCAGTTTCATTGCTTTTATTTTGAAAGTAGGATATATGTGACCCTTGCATACTGTTCTGAGAGCCCAGGGTCCATTCATCTCTTGTCAGAAATGGACTCTAATATTTATAGGTATGCTTTTTTATTTAGAGTTGGAATTGTTACGTTTTTATCTACAGACACAGAGGGTTGCCTTCCACAGAGTCCGCCATGTTTTAACAGTGGCCTAGAAGGGATAAACCAAACATTGGCTCTAAATAGGGGTGTTCGCATTTTTCGCATGGTTCGGCCACCATAGATTCTCCATTTGAAGGAGCAACAATGCTGATTACAGTGACCCTGAACTACCCAGGGATCAGTGTTAGGTAGCAAGCTAATGTCAGCTAATTAGCACTCTCCTAATTACTTTGAAAATGAAGAATGTCTTGTCTTTCACCTCACAAACGGCAGCAACTGTTACTGACCCATCCAGATTGAAATTTGTATTCACTGAAACCCTGTTGGGAAAAGAAGAGGGGAGAAACAAAGTTGTGGTTTGACATTTAAGCTGAAAGGAAAAGAACTAGAACAAACTGAAATAAAGATTAGTCCAACTCAGTAATTCATCAGTGGATGCTTCCTGACCCTATTGTGGATTTCACATTGCTTGGCAAAATAGATGAGTTCATTATACACCCACAAGTAATACTGGCCTAAATAGAAAATAACTAGTGCCCAAGCAGTAATATTCTCTGATTCCAGTTCATCGTTAATCAGCTTGAAGCACAGCCATCCAGACAGCAGACTAGAAGTTGTAAACGTCCAGTGTGTGGGATTTAGTGGCATCTAATGGTGAAGTTGCAGATCACTCTCTTCACCCTCTCTTACCAAGCTCAAGGGAGAAACTACAGTGGGCACAAGACTCTGTAGGAAAAACAACTCATTCCATGGTAACAAAAACACAATGATCCTTATATTCAGGTGTTTATACACTCATGGACACATACCTGAATATGTGAATATGAGGAACAAATAGGAATCAAAGAAAATAATACGGCTGACAAATGTGGAAATGAAGACCACAATTGAGCATAGGTTGAGAGACAGGTGGCAAAATCAGTGGGAAGAAGAGAGAACAGGAAGGTGATACAGAATTCAAAGAGAAGCGGGTATGATGAGAAGCATGGGAAGGACTGGAGAGAGGAGACAGTAACATCAGAGCTGCAATTTGGTCATGCATGCACAAACATGCTTTGCCAACCACCATGAAACATCAAAAAAAAGAAGAAGGCTTCCTCATTTTTGTCTGTCTTGTCTTTGATGATTGTTTGTAGGTGTTTGCCATGTGTCTTCTGAAGAACCTTCAGTGGGAGTTTGTTTTTGTTAATTGAGTTTATGCTTTAGTGTTGACAGGAAGGTTAAAGGATAATATTGTTTTTGGTACTTTAATGTGCAAAACTTTAACACGATCTAAAGACTTGATTCATGATTAGTTTGATTTATGATATTGTCATTTATTTCTTAATTTAGAACCATGGAAATCATGATGGCAAAAACATTCACATCATTCTCCGGATAGATAAAATGGGTAGTTGGCATCCCTTGTTTCCTGGTTTGTGGCTCCAGTTAGAACCTAAAAACAGTCTGTTTGTGTCCTCTCTTTAGGGTTCTCTGATCTCTGAGCAGCAGCCCCTGTGTGCAGGCGGTCTACTGCCCAGCTGACTGTGTAGGACTCGAATTATGTTCATCAGCTACTCATGAAAGGTAAGAAAATGTCAGGCATATTCTAATTATCTGGCGATATGATACATATCATGATACAGGGATTATGATTCAATATATTGTGATATATTGTAATACTGTAAGCAACTAAAAAACAACAACACACCACCATATGCCTAAAATCTGAATAAAAAGTAAACTCTCTATGCAACCAGAACAGTGGGATCTGTATTTGTATGTATGAGAGTCCAACATCCAACATCAAAGTGCTCAGTTTACACCACTGCTATCTAGTGGTTGCGGGTTTAAACACAAAAACCAATACAGTGTTTTTGAGAGTCAATACAATATCACAGATACAATATTTTTATAATAATTCTTTGATATAGTCCTTATTGTCTGGCTGTGGAGGAGCTTTGTCTGCATTACAAACTGCAGGTGAGGAGTCTGATCCAGCTCTTTTGGAGCCTGACCTAATAATATGGACTAAAAGTCAGAAAGTTTCAGCCTCTCCTGCTTCAGTTTTGACCATTTCTCTTGTGAGTCCCCACTATTGATGGAAATGCAATACTACATTATAGGAGGGCCCCTTTACGGCTGTTCTTTTAAACGGCACCCCAACCCCCCTGTAGGAGAGCTAGTGAAAATGACACCTGACGTTTAATGATTTATTTTGACAGTGATTACAATAAAATGGTCATTAGTTGAAATTTGAGTTTGCCTGATGGATAGATTTGAGTGGAGGCAAGTTTAGCTCAAAAATATTAACATTTAATGGATTTTTTCAAAATTTTCATTGAGCATTTATGTTTTTATTTTGCCCTATTATTTTCAGACACACATTATTGTTCCATGCAGGCTATTTAAATTATGTCTTAACACATGTGTGAAGGGGATCTTTAAGTTTCATTTACTTCTAGTTCCTTCATCCCTCATTCTAGTGACACAGTGATATGCACATCCACTGTAGCACACATGCTGCAGAAAAATTGTGAAAAATGTGTTGTGGGACTCACTTGATAACATTTGCTTTATTTTACATGGTGCCTTTTTAAATTGGACAAAGTAATGAAAAATCAGAGCCAGCTATGACACCAAATTTTAATTCAAGAAGACTAATTCATGTTTTATAATTAGAAGAATGCCAATGTCATATGATCCCCTCTGTGTTATCTCTCTCCTGCAGACTGATTGCAAATTAAACACTTTTTCACCTTACATCTTTAATCAGCGTCATGACATTTGCCAAAATTGGCGTCTAACAATCTATTACGCTTGTAATAGGAGTTTGAAATGTCAAAGGGTGTAACCGTTACACCCTTTGACTTTTACTACACAACAGTATATACAGTTAAAATGAGCTATGATATTTCTCCAAAACTCTGCCCCCATAGTCTGGCTTTTTATGCTGGGTTTGGAGCAGTGGCTTCTTCCCTGCTTATGTTGAACATACACCCACACCAATTGACTTAAATTATGTCAGTTAGCCTATCAGAAGAGTCTAAAGCCATGATGTAATTTTCAGAAATTTCCCATGCTGTTTTAAGTGACTTCCGACCCACTGGGATTGTGATATAGTTAATTATAAATGAAATAATCTGTCAGTAAACTGTATTCGTGTCATGTGCAAAGTAGTTCTTTTCTGGCAATTTGCCAAAACTTTAGTCTTTAACATTAAATCTGTGCTGTTGTAAAAAAAAAATAATTACAATGACTTCAACTAATACACTGTAAAATTCATTTTAACTCAAAAGAATTGTTGGAACCGTTTACACTGAAAGTTTTACTGTACTTGTCACTGTGTTTTATGTCTGTGCCCGTTCCTGTTCTTTCTAAAATTCAATAAAAACCAATGTTTCAACATCCAGGTTGCACTGCCAATATTTGAATAAACTGAATAAATCCTGCAGTGAGAACCTGCCCAGGCCTGCCATTACACATCCTTCCCACATGGGGGCAGTCATGTCAAGTGAGTTTACCAACTCTAATGCTCCAGCGATTGGGGGAAGATGCTGCACATCGTTTACCTTACTTTTGTGCCTTCTGGTCATTCTCATAACCTGCGTGTTGAGATGTTCCAGCAGGAGTTAATTTGTCCAAACTACCCAGTGTGCTGTCAGACACACTGCACAGTGCAGGAAACACCAGCCCCTGTGCTGAAAGGGCAAAGCTGGAGGACACGCTCATTAACAAGGTTTGGATCTGTCACATCTCACACACACACACACACACACACACCGCGCTACCTGTAATGAGGAGCCGGACTGACAGTTCAAGAGAAAACCGTCTGATCTTCCCACTGGGACAAAGTGAGCCACACAGACTGCCTCCTGCTGGGACTGTTTAAGCGATGGAAGACAAATAGGGCAGTGGACATTAAACACAAGTCTTACACCCATCAACAAGCCCAGAGAAAGTGATGCTACTCCAGATGTGTTCTCCAGCTGTAATACAACATGAAAGGATGTTACCTGGCTGCTCACTCTCATACACCCAAGCTCAAATTTAAAAACTACCAACAAATGTTGTATTTTTACATTTTAGAAGGACAAAGAGTGTATTCACTCCAAATATACATTGTACCTGTAGGAATATAAAAGAATTGTCGTGTAGCAAAAGATAAACAGTGCAGCAAAGTCACTATAAACTCTCCAAACCTTACAAATATCTCTCTATAGGAATATAAGGAGCATTTTTCGCTGGGTAGATAACACTGGAGGTATGTAGGATATGAAGGGTGGGTGTGTTTTGGGGTGGGTGCTGTGATGTAACAGGGGAGGTGGGGAGGGGTGGGGGCTTCTCTCTCTCCCCCATAGAGCGCAGCATGAGCGCTCCGCAGCAAAAGGATGTGTGAGCAGGCAGCGCGCTACTGTAGGGACGGAGTCCACAAACTGCTCAACAAAGAACAAGCCAAACTTCGAGCCCAGGAAAGCCGCGAGCAGCCGAAACCCGTAGCCGGTCAGGACAGCGAGTCCGCGACGGCAGCGCAGTCCGGAAACAGCGGCGCTCAGCCCGGTGGAATCGACGGGCTCGTCCGCTGGATCGTCACCAAAATGAGCGACAACAAGAACATCTCCAGCCGGGAGTACGCCTCCAGCAAGGAGGAGGTGGCTGTGGCTCAGGAGCAGTTCTTCGCCCCGGAGCCGCGGAGAGGCATCTCCGTGATTTTGGATGTGAGTATGGAGAGGCACCCGGCAGTGGTCAGCCTGGCAGGTTGGGTGGGAGGGTGAGGGCATCCAGTGAGCAGTGCGTACGGAGCGGTGCAGTGCGCACTTACGCACAGAAACGGTCTTCCAGTTCACTGTGGAGGCTTGTAGCTCGAGCCTCGAAGAGCAGGCAGGAGATAGTTCTAGACAGTTTAGTAAAGAGAGTCGGTCGGGATCGAACCTGTGACCTCTCGGTGGCTGGACAGTCTCAGATCACTGTGCAAAATCCACTGTACATGTTCCGGGTCTTATTGACAAGAACTCCTTTAAGCTCGGCTTGATTTGTACACTTCTTTACTACACCACTACTGGAGTGCTCATAAATCCAGGTCAGTGAATGCAGCGCTACTTTCGCTGATGGTTTTACTGTCAGTCCAAAGAAAGTCCGACGCGCACCCACACCAGCAGCTCCACCCGCAGTAAAAGCAGCACCAGTGAGTCGGATTGTCTGTTAGGATGCTTAAGACAGTTTTATCACAACACTTTAATTATTCATGAAAATGTCTTACTGCCATATTTCAGAGGCGGGCGGATAAACCCGTGCAAAGATGCAGCCTTCCTGTTTCGGAAGCGGCAATTACGCAGCGCAGTGTCGATTTAGGTCAGCTCATCAATACTATTGGGTTCTTTCTCATCAGCGCCCCACTAAATCTGTCCCCCGGAGGATGAGCTGATGCTGATTTAATGACTTAACGGGGTAGAAAAACAATAGGAAAGTAGTTCAGTTGCTTCAGACCCTGACCACGACCCAAATAGATGATGGACTGATAAAAGAAGGGGGTCCATGGAAAACTAATTATGATCAAGACCAGAGGGCCAATATATCCTAGTACCCTAATAAACTAATTGTGTGTGTGTATGTGTGTGTGTGTGTGTGTGTGAGTGTGGGGATGGATGGGGGTAGCCAGAGTTGCTGCTCATACTGAAGAGGAGTCCACTCGGGCAGATGCAGCACAGAAGGGTTTCATAAGCTTTGAGTCAGGACCCAGAATGCTTCTTTGACCTGCTTCTGATCCTGACACCGGAACAGCTGCTCCGTCTCTCTGATTTCCACACTGTTTCCTTCTCTGCTTCGCTTATGTTGATTGGTCGACACACACAGCGCCTTCTGACATCAGCCATGAACTCTCTCTGGCATTTTCTCTCCAGCTCACTTTCTGCATCGGCTTGAACTTTGAAATGTTAATCGTTTTTTGCCATTCTCCGATATTATTGACCCCGGCATTATTATCATGGTGGAGAAGTCCACACCGAAGGGATCTGAGCGATTGCTGTAGATGTGTGTGTCTGTGTCTGTGTGTGTGCGTGCAGGCATCATTCTCTCATTAGACACTCTCTGCGTGCTTGTTTCTCATCCTTGGCTGTTCTTGTCTTCCCCTTCATCTTAACCCTGATGCACCTTCCCTTTCTATCCTTTAAACTCCTTTCATCCTCTGTACTCTCCCCCTCCTCCTCTCCTCTCCTCTCCTCCTTTCCTTCATATCCTTCTCGTCTTCCTCCTCTCCTCTCTCCTCAGCCAGGCCAAGAAAAGCATCCATTCTTAATAAGGTTAGATGGATGCAGCATCCCCCTCCCTCCGTCTCTGTCTTCTCTTTCTGCTTTGTTCAATCGTTTTCTGTACCTCTCCTCCACTGTCTCTCATATTATTCTCACTCTGTATTTCTGTTACAACTATCTGCACGCACACACACACACACACACACACACACACACACACACACCCTGCCTCCTTAACGCAACACTTTCCCTCCTCTCTGAGCTTGTCTGTCTCCAGCAGCTCCAGAGTTGGCTGCTTTCTGAGGAGTTGAGTGCGCCCCAGGGTGCAGCCGGAGAGCAGAACAATGCAGAACAGCTTGTCATTTGGAACGTCGTGTGTCTCAGCAGTTAATGATTTTCACTTTGGCCTGTTCAGATGGCCGCAGTCGCTGCCTGGATGCACCACACACTTCGAATTTGACAAGCAATGAACGTACTTTTTTACATATTTAGGTTAGTTTGTTTAAAAGTCCATCCTGATGATCCTGAACTGCAGTCTGTTAACAATTATTTTCATTATTAATCTATATCTATTAGAGGTGTGCATCTCTCCCTTCTTAGATGATCTGATACGTATCTAGATACATGGGCTAAGATACGATTCATGGACAACGCATTTTGATATGGAACAACTCGGTGCAATTTGATACGATACAATCTGATACAGTTCTTAACATTTGTTTAATGTAGAAATTTATTTGCTATTCTAAATTAAAATAAGCCAGTTCTATAAAAGCGACATTACTTACCTTCCAATACATATCATTTATAAATGGCAGAGAATCCGAAGTATTTTTCCCTTTATGGTAAAATTGGGAGACAAAGGTCTAGTTTTATTGCTAGGTTTATTGCTTTTCTAACAGACACACACAAAAAAAGACTTTCTGCCGTGATTACCTTAGACCTCGCCAAGTTGTGCCTGGAACGTCTTTACTATCTGTGTTTGTGTGTTCTTGCTTGTGCTAGCTGTATTAGCATCCACAGACCCCTCGTCGCCTGAATAGGTGTCACCATGCCGTCTCACCAGGCGAGTAATTAATATGTGTGGTGCTACCGCTGTACTTCATTGCTGTCCAACAAATGGATAGACGTTTGTCCAACTTTCCTACCAACTTTCCTAACAAATGTCTCCCAGACTTTAGATATGATGGTGCACTGTAAGTCGTGTCCGCGTTGTGGGACATATTTGTTTATGTACTGACCTCGCGAGCCACGTTACTCTCGTCACTCTTGACGCAAGATCCTGGCGTTGACCTTTTACCTTGCATGAGAGGGGAAACGCTGTTAGCAGCAAAGCTTTAGTCTTCATATCTTTAGAATCAAACCATCAACTGGTTCATGGTGCATTTAGATCCATCCAGGGGTCCGCGTACCGATGTAGTCTACAACGTTAAAACCGATTTCTGACTCGTATTGGTAAATCTTTACACCCCTAATATCTATCGACAATCTTCTTGATTAATTGATTACATCTACTACAAGGAGTGCATACCTGGTTATGAAACAGTCTCAGTTTAATACTGCTGGAATGGTTGGAATTTTTGCTTGAAAACAGACTGAAACAATAAATCTGTTATCAAAAGGTTTGCATTTTCTCTTGAAAAGCTAATTGGTTCATCCTTTCTGCTTTACTTGAAAGCGACAATGAACTTTCATTTTGTGTTGTTTCTGGCGGCCCCTGTGGACAAAAGTGGTAGTGTTTCAACTGCCTCGTTGCACTGATGGTGGCATTAATAATAAATATAAGGAAACAGCCAATCTTTTCACTAAAGGTAGGTAAATGTAGGTCATGCAGAGGCATCAGTATTTAACTGAGACTGTTTCATTATCAGTTACAACTCCTAGTAGTATGTTTAACTTGAAATGTTGAGTCACCAAATCTAAAAAAAATATTTGTTTAAATCCTCCTTTCGTCTGACATTCCTATTAACAGCTGATAATAAAAGTCAGTGTCAAGTCTTGAGGCTTTTATTTCTGACAGTTTAAGACACTTTTAGGTGAGAATTCTTATAAGCTATGCTCCAATTCTTTTCTCAAGTGTGATGGAAAGGAATCTACTTTACAGACTTCCACATGTTGTCTGTATAATGGGGCTAAGTTAAAGACTTGCTCCACCAAAAAATCTTTTTAGTACCACTCACTCATCCCCCTGTAGGTTGGAAAGGCGTCTATCAAAGTTGTCACTTGTGTCCTTCACAAGAAGAGTTGCTGCTGTAACAGTCCAGTGGTGACAGGTTCTCTCAGAAGAAAATAAAATAAGTATCCATCTTCCCTCCCACTTTCTTTCTGTCTGTTCACTTCATATTTTGCATCCCCCTCACCGTGTCTTTCTCTCTGTCTTCCACCTCTTCTCTGGCATTGTGCTGCTTCCTGGCAGCTGCTGTCAGTAGGAACAGTTTATATCACACTCTGAAACACTGATGAAAGTACCAGACCTGCCACTTTCAATTCCATAGGGAAAGAAGCTTTCACTGAAGCTATAAATTAGCTCCCAGAATCGTGTGTGTTCATACATGCATAGAGTGTGTGTGCGTGTACATAACATTTGTGAGTTGTTATCCTCTGTCACATTTATAAACTTTTCAGTCCCGTGGCTCCTAACCAGTCTTATCACACACCACTGCACCTAATCTGGTTGTGTGTTTGTGTGTGACAGAGTCTCTGTACAGGCTGCACTGGTTAACAAATTGAATGGAAGACCAAACATTACTATGTGCAGTTATTCACCCACTAGGTTCTGCTTTTGCTGCAAAGAATTGGTAATTCTGTTCTACTTAAGAAACACCACCTTACATGTGCTTAACCATCTGTCACTTCAGCTGAAATGATGTAAATGTTCTGCCCCAGAGCACAAGATTTACAAATCTCATTAAAGTAAAAAAAAAAGTGCCTCACTTTCAATCTCAAAATACAGGATGTGAAATTGTTAGTAATGGCCTGTCAATGCATTTAAAGAAGCTTTTTATTTCATGTTACATTTTGACCTCTAAACCAGTTCTCTTACACTGATTTTTTAAGTATCCTATTCTTTTTCTGAACAAAATGACAATTTTCTACAAAAATATGAAAAGTTTAGTTTCATTCAAAAATGACATACTGTACCAAACATGAACCCTTTTGTGTTTCCAGAGGTAGTTTGTGTGAAAACTGATAAATTGCCTCAAGTGATGTAATTTGAGTCAGCACAAAACTATCTCTTGTTCTCTGGGTTGATCCATTCTTTAAACTGTCCATCATGAGTCAATGTACAGGAGTGTGATGCTAAATCTGTGATAAGCTAATATTGGCTCATTTATAGAGACGTTTTGAGTTACAGCAGATGCAAGCAACTGCTCAGAGCTACATTTATTGGAGCATAGCACAGATTTTGAAACTCATTAAATAACGTAAAACCTTGAAAATCTTTTAAAATCTCTCTCTTCTCAAATGAA